ACAAAGTTAAAAAAATAATGCAATGTATTGTCTATTGCAGTATAATTAATGCAATGTATTGTCTATTTTTCGCAGTTTTATTTCACATGTACGTTGCTGTGTTTGCTGTAACCATTGTTTGCCTATTATCTAACACATTTAGCACTAGCGCTGGTGATGTTCTGTAAGCATATCCAAATCCATTAATAAATGCATTTAATTCAGACTGTATATCGTCATTTTTAAACAGTGTGACATACAGCGCCAGGGGTCTTTTAAATGTGCATTCTGTATATTCTATTAAGCTACGGTTGCATAATAATTTCGTAATGCAGCTCAGGTTTTGTTCATTGAAGTTTTAAATTACTCTCTGGTGCTGGAAAATATAACATCGGTGGTAATAGAACATGGTTGACGATTTAATCGCTGGCTTTCAGGTCACGTTTCAAATAACAAACTGCAGTGGATGCACCGTGTAACATTTAGTTCAGCTCAAACATGCTTACGTGTTACATTGTAAAAGATAGGTAACGGTAAAGCTCTGCAATTGCTTGCTCACGCCACTGCTGGCAGAAGGGCCTCCACTGTATGTTGACTTTCTTTCGCACCGTACGTAGCCAAGCGTGCTAATCAGATGTGCGAATGGATCTGTAGAAAGTTGCTCTACAGGGTATGTTGCCCTACTTAACACTGGCGGCCCGGTGTCTCAGAAGATATGAGTCGACCCAACATAGAGCCACCGGGGGCCTACGGACGGACTCACGTGCCTCTTTATAGTGCTTGGTGGATCGAGGCGGGAGGATTTAAGAGACGTATTCATTATTTTAAATGCTCTACCAGGAGATTGAAGGAGCAACCTCTATTGCAATTCAGCGTGCTAACCATTACATTATGGCAGCTCGTTACCATGTATATTTTAGTATATAAGTGGGGAGGAGAGTTACATGCCTTAGTATGTAAGTGGGGAGGAGAGTTACATGCCTTAGTATGTAAGTGGGGAGGAGAGTTACATGCCTTAGTATGTAAGTGGGGAGGAGAGTTACATGCCTTAGTATGTAAGTGGGGAGGAGAGTTACATGCCTTAGTATGTAAGTGGGGAGGAGAGTTACATGCCTTAGTATGTAAATGGGGAGGAGAGTTACATGCCTTAGTATATAAGTGGGGAAGAGAGTTACATGCCTTAGTATGTAAATGGGGAGGAGACTTACATGCCTTAGTATGTAAATGGGGAGGAGAGTTACATGCCTTAGTATGTAAATGGGGAGGAGACTTACATGCCTTAGTATGTAAGTGGGGAGGATACTTACATGCCTTAGTATGTAAGTGGGGAGGAGAGTTACATGCCTTAGTATGTAAATGGGGAGGAGAGTTACATGCCTTAGTATATAAATGGGGAGGAGACTTACATGCCTTAGTATGTAAGTGGGGAGGAGAGTTACATGCCTTAGTATGTAAGTGGGGAGGAGAGTTGCATGCCTTAGTATATAAGTGGGGAGGAGAGTTGCATGCCTTAGTATATAAGTGGGGAGGAGAGTTACATGCCTTAGTATGTAAGTGGGGAAGAGAGTTACATGCCTTAGTATGTAAATGGGGAGGAGAGTTACATGCCTTAGTATATAAGTGGGGAGGAGAGTTACATGCCTTAGTATGTAAGTGGGGAGGAGAGTTACATGCCTTAGTATGTAAGTGGGGAAGAGAGTTACATGCCTTAGTATGTAAATGGGGAGGAGAGTTACATGCCTTAGTATATAAGTGGGGAAGAGAGTTACATGCCTTAGTATGTAAATGGGGAGGAGACTTACATGCCTTAGTATGTAAATGGGGAGGAGAGTTACATGCCTTAGTATGTAAATGGGGAGGAGACTTACATGCCTTAGTATGTAAGTGGGGAGGATACTTACATGCCTTAGTATGTAAGTGGGGAGGAGAGTTACATGCCTTAGTATGTAAATGGGGAGGAGACTTACATGCCTTAGTATGTAAGTGGGGAGGATACTTACATGCCTTAGTATGTAAGTGGGGAGGAGAGTTACATGCCTTAGTATGTAAGTGGGGAGGAGAGTTACATGCCTTAGTATGTAAGTGGGGAGGAGAGTTACATGCCTTAGTATGTAAGTGGGGAGGAGAGTTACATGCCTTAGTATATAAGTGGGGAAGAGAGTTACATGCCTTAGTATGTAAGTGGGGAGGAGAGTTACATGCCTTAGTATATAAGTGGGGAGGAGAGTTACATGCCTTAGTATGTAAGTGGGGAGGAGAGTTACATGCCTTAGTATGTAAGTGGGGAGGAGAGTTACATGCCTTAGTATATAAGTGGGGAGGAGAGTTACATGCCTTAGTATGTAAGTGGGGAGGAGAGTTACATGCCTTAGTATGTAAGTGGGGAGGAGAGTTACATGCCTTAGTATATAAGTGGGGAGGAGAGTTACATGCCTTAGTATGTAAGTGGGGAGGAGAGTTACATGCCTTAGTATGTAAGTGGGGAGGAGACTTACATGCCTTAGTATGTAAGTGGGGAGGAGACTTACATGCCTTAGTATGTAAGTGGGGAAGAGAGTTACATGCCTTAGTATGTAAGTGGGGAGGATACTTACATGCCTTAGTATGTAAGTACTTTGCAAACTTATTTATGGTTGGTGTGTTAAGGTTGTCGAAGCATTTCGTATTTCAATTTGTTATAAAATAGTCTTAACCGTTTCCCTATTGCTAAAAGGGACCAACATATGCCACTATTAGCCTGTCGGTCTAGTCGACAGTCATCACCATGGGTGGAGTAATGGATGAGTGAAGGTCGTGGGAACAAACCACGGTATTGCCTTGGGGAGTTGGTTTTGGAACGCAAAGAGATTGGTGTAGCCCGCTGGGTTGGTGTGTGGAGACATCAGCTCAACATGCAGCCTGAGGCAGGCACTGGGGATCAACATGCTTTGCACTGGCCATAGAAAGGCAACAGTAATGAACGTTAAATCGGCAAATGACAACATGTATGATGCTTCAAACATCAAACTGATATGTCAAGATAAGTTCGGAAATGTGAAAATGCGACGCCGAGTAATGAATGCCAGTGTTATTGGTTTAAATATTTTGTCTCTTAAAACCCAAAATTAGGTTTCAAGTTATAGCGGAAGGCAAACATGTAAACAAGGCAACATTGAGCACAATATTTACACAGATGATACAATCTACAGGGAGTATGCACATATCGAGTGGTGTATAATACAGTGCTGTATTTTTTTGGGGTTTCCTTGAAATCCCCAACAGGAGCCACTTTCACACTCCGAATATTGCGCAAATAGAATCGAAAGTTCAGAGGTCGCCTGTTCTATTCGGGGCCATGGAAAAGTTTTTTGAGCATAATCGTAAAGCCCTTTGTCCAGCCAGCATCGTGAACGGCGTGTAACACCACCTTCGATCGGCAGGTGGCGTGTGTGGTGGGGGTAGAGTGTGTTTGCTCGCAGCACGGCTTTCAATACGTCTGGCCCGCGTGCAAGAAGAGCCAACAACCCTGCTCCAGTGGAGGCCCTTCCGCCAGCAGTGGTGAGAGCAAAATATCGCAGGGCTGCGCCTTTGGCCGCCTTTCGCCCAGCAGGGCTCACGTTTCACACTGTTGTTGCACCAATACAATTATTTACTGTCCTGTATTCTCAACCCCAAGCCAGCAACCGAGGGTTCAAAACCTTTGTTGATAGAGAGGGTGCCATCTCTGTAAACTACAGAGACCCTCAATGAGTAATGCATTATCCATGATTAAAAGTGGTTTCTATGTGCAAAGCGATCAAGCAAATAGCACCATGAACCGGGGCAACCTCAGTTCGATTTCTGGTTCATAATTAACCCAACTGAAATAAAAAAATATATAGTTCCCTGACCGGGAATCGAACCCGGGCCGCGGCGGTGAGAGCGCCGAATCCTAACCACTAGACCACCAGGGAGCCACGTGCGAAGGCGCCACACAACAGCAACTATCGTCGCCGTTCATGATGGTGAAGTATGGTCAAAAAGCTTCCGTGACTGGCATGATGTGGGGGAAGCGTCCATCCACAGCTCAGTGGAATGAGTGTACATGCTTAATTCATATTGTCAACGTACACATTAATCGTGTAGATAAAAATGTTTGCATATTTGTGATAAAGCAACTTGGCAGAGGTGTTGGTTGGGTGTCAGATCACGCAAGAGAATCGCCTCCACATGCAGGGCCAGCAGAGAAGCTGCCCGCAGGAATGCAGTACAGCAAGCAGGCGGCTGATCGATATAAACGTTGGATTTTTTCCCCCCCCTCTTATATGGCTCTCTGCTTTTCTCCTGCAAGCGTAAATACTGTACTCTGAGTAAAGATGATGAAAAAGTCTAGTTCATCAAAAATCTTCCTTATGAAATATATACAATACCGCATAACAATGCTTCGGGGAGGAGATAGCAGGGCTTAATTTTAACCGGAAAATGTTCAATGGATAATGAAGCCATCTGCGTCACGATTCACCCAATCTTTCCGCAAGTTAACAAATGTCAAGTTTTGATTAAAATATATTCATTAAAAACGACTACAGTATATAGTACTGTCAGTACAGTGTCGTAAAAATAGCGGCCTATAATGCCTGAAATTATCATTACGAAGCTAAACCCCCAGTGGAGTGAAAATAAACTAACCACATTCATCAATAAGACTGTCCCTTAAATGAAAACAATACTGTATATGCAATAGGCGACGTTTTGGCCAAGTGGACCTTCTTCATAACACTTGGATAAAAAAAATGAATAACCCAAATAAAACGAGCACACGAGCAACAACATCAAAACACGTGTTCCCTCAATGAGTAATACATTATCCATGCATAAAAAAGTGGTTTCTATGCGCCAAAGCGATTACGCAAAGAGAACCATGAACCGGGGCAACCTCAGTTCGATTCCTGGTTCATCATTAACCAAACTAAAATTTATTTTTAAAAAATAGCGAGTTCCCTGACCGGGAATCGAACCCGGGCCGCGGCGGTGAGAGCGCCGAATCCTAACCACTAGACCACCAGGGAGCCACGTGCGAGCTCGCTACACCACAGCTTATATCACCGCCGCTGTTGATGGTGAAGCATGGTCAGATAACTTCCGTGACTGGCATGATGTGGGGGGAAGCCTCCATCCACACAGGTCAGTGAAATGAGTGTACATTCTTCATTCATATTGTCCAACGTATACATATTAAACGTGTAAATAAAAAAAACGTTGCACATCTGTAGTGTAGAAACTTGTCAGAGGTGTTGGTTTGGGTGTCAGACCGTTTCATGGCCTAGTTTGTGATGCTTGGTGCTGTGCTTCGTGGGGAGCGGTAGTGCAACCGGTAGCGTGCTGCGCTACGAACACGTTGACTGCAGTTCGATTCCTGTTCACGGCCTCCCCTCGGTCAACACACCGTTGAAATACGGTGTTTTTTTCTGGAAGACTTTGCTGTTTTTTTCCTGGATTTTTCTGTTGCGTGTCGTCAGTTTAAGATGTTTCTTGTTCATGTTTTTGTTTTGTTGTGGTTGCACCCGAGTCAAGAGCCGCATGGCTGACAGGGTTATACCTAATAAAATACCTAATACGTGAAATAAATGAAACTAAGATCGAATTCTGGTTAATCATTAACCCAACTGAAATTGATAACAAAAAATTACAATTCCCTGACCGGGAATCGAACCCGGGCCGCGGCGAATCCTAACCACGTGACCACCAGCGGGGAGCCACGTGGCAGCTCGCCACACCACAGCTGATATCGTCGCCGCTGCTGCGATGGCTGTGGCAACAGCAGCAGCAGCCCTGCGCCGCATGAACACGGCTCGTGAAGCCCAGGGGAGCCGCATGAACACGGCTCGTGAAGCCCAGGGGAGCCGCATGAACACGGCTCGTGAAGCCCAGGGGAGCCGCATGAACACGGCTCGTGAAGCCCAGGGGAGCCGCATGAACACGGCTCGTGAAGCCCAGGGGAGCCGCATGAACACAGCTCGTGAAGCCCAGGGGAGCCGCATGAACACGGCTCGTGAAGCCCAGGGGAGCCGCATTCACCAAAGAGCCTTCGCTTGACGAGGGACGCGAAGTGTGCACGGGGTGGCGGTCACACTTGTCTGGTTATGGGCTGTCCATAGCAAGCTACACGTGTTGTGTGTGTGCTGCCCTGTGGCGCCAACCGGGATATTCGGAGATGCGGGAGACAAACTAAACGCCAAACACAGTTCTATGCGTACTGTTGTGTACTGTGTGTATACATAGTATTGCAGTGTGTATGTACACAGTATGACTGTGTGTGTACATAGTAGGAGCCCTGGTGGTCCCCCTCTTTAAGAAGGGGGACCGCACAGACTGTAACAACTACAGGGGCATCTCACTCCTCAGTGTGCCGGGAAAGGTCCTGGCAAGGATTATTCAACATCGCCTTGCCAGGTACGCTGAGGAGAGGCTTGCGGAGCCCCAATGCGGTTTCAGGAAAGGGCGGTCCTGCACAGATGCCATATTTTCTGTCCGTCTGCTACAGCAGAGGTGTAGGGAATTCCAGCAAGACCTACATCTCTGCTTTATTGACCTGGTCAAGGCCTATGATACCATCAATAGGCCTGGGCTCTGGGTTGTTCTTCGTGCTTTTGGAGTCCCTGACCCTCTGCTCACGATCATTAAGGACCTACATGATGGTGAGCGGGCCCGGGTAAAACTACGTGGCCAGGAGTCAGAGCCATTCCCTGTACACCTTGGGGTGCGACAGGGATGTCCTCTGGCTCCCACATTATTTAACATCTATTTTGACCAGGTAGTTCGTGAAGCCTTCAATAGCTGTACCGGGGGAATCTCCATATGGTACAGATATAATGGGAGGCTGATCGATGCCCGGGTGCGGTCAAGGGATGGTTCCCTATTGCTCAACCACGTTATGTATGCCGATGATTTGGTAATAGCTGCTCATTCAGAGGAGGAGTTGGAGACGCTGCTGCTGAGACTGGAACGTGCCACTAAGAGATGGGGCCTTACCATCAGCCCCACCGAAACTAAGCACCTTCCTGGGTATTTTGTACCATCGGACACTCCACACCCACAACTCCCAATCGGTGATGGGGCAGTTGTGGAGAGAGTGGCGAGTTTCCCATACCTGGGCAGTGTGCTTATGACCACTTCCAGTTTAACAGCAGAGGTCTCACTCCGAATCAGTCGAGCGGCAATATCTTTTCATCGGTTGCGTAACGCTGTGTGGAAGCTACCTGGTCTATTTCTCCACACTAAGCTTCAGGTCTTCTCGGCCACGGTCATTCCGTCCCTTCTCTACGCTTGAGAAACGTGGACCCCCCTAATGGAACATCTTTGCCGGTTAGAAACATTTAGGCAAGCCTGCCTACGATCCGTCCTGGGTTTAACCAGGCTGGATTGTGTAAGGAGCTCACAAATCCTTGAAAAATCTGTGCAAGGTCCCATCAGTGAGCTCCTCCGGCAGGCAAGGCTGCTTTGGCTGGGTCATGTAGCCCGCATGCCCAGCCACCGCATGCCTAAACAGCTTTTGTTCGGCCGGATCGAGGGGGCTAAACGGGCGCGGCACGGGCTAGAGAAGAGATGGAGTGATGTGGTACAGGAGGACGTGGAGCTGAGTGGACTTGCCGATGACCGGTACCAGCGGTGTCAAGATCAGCCTCTGTGGAGGAGGCTCGTGAAGGACGCTACTGGGCAGTTGGAGGCAGTCGCCTTCCAACAACAACGGAGGGCGGAGGAGCGACGCTCACAACAACGAGCGGAGCGCCGGGTGGCTAAAGCACAGCAGGTTGGCACAGTAGGGGGCACAGGTGGTGCATCAGCCAGTCATCTCGGTCATCTCAGTCAGTCGACCCGTGGCACCTGGGTCTGCCCCGTGACCTCCTGCCAGCGGGCGTTCGACACTTCACGTGATAGCCTCAAGGTGCACATGGCCTGGCACAAGCGTCGTGGTGACGTCACCGCCACTTAGTGGCGAATGGCGGTTGTTATGTTATGTTATAGTAGGAGCGATAGTGTAGCGGTTAGCGCGCTTCGCTATGAACCCGGCGACACGGGTTCGATTCCCGTTCACAGACAACACCAGTGACGACTCAGCCTGAAATGAGTACCTGGTGCGGTGTGTAAACATCGCCACTTGGGAGACAAAGGCGGCCGGGCGTGGTGTTGGCCACCCACCCCCTTGTGTACCGTTCCGGCCTTCATAGGTGCTCGCTAACAGCACTTGCCCCTACAGTCTGTTAAGGCTATATGGGGGATCTTGATCTTTATAGTATGACAGTATGACAGTGTGTGGTGTGTGTGGTGTGTGGGCAGTGCGAGTGTCGAGAACTCCGCGTGTCAGGGGGCTGGGCATGTGCTGGCAGCCCGCCCATGCCGTGACCACCATCACGTTAACAACCACCACCACCACCACCACACACGCCGTGACCACCACTACCACCACCACCACACGGTAACCACCACCATCACGCGCCGTGTCCGTGCCGAGTGGAGGAGGAGTTGCGGGCAGCGCGGCGAGGAGGAGGAGTAGTAGGAGTAGTAGTAGTACGAGGAGGAGTAGTAGGTGTACGAGTAGTAGTAGGTGTAGTAGTAGTACGAGGAGTAGTAGGTGTAGTAGGTGTACGAGGAGTAGTAGGTGTAGTAGGTGTACGAGGAGTAGTAGGTGTAGTAGGTGTACGAGTAGTAGGTGTAGTAGGTGTACGAGTAGTAGGTGTAGTAGGTGTACGAGTAGTAGGAGTAGTAGGTGTGCGAGGAGGAGTAGTAGGTGTAGTAGTAGTACGAGTAGGTCTCTGGCATCGGGCAGTGGTAGTGTGTGAGTACTGTACACGTGTTTGTGCTACTGTCATGTGTGAGTACACGTGTGTGTGTGCTACTGTCATGTGTGAATACACGTGTGTGTGATACTGTCATGTGTGAGTACACGTGTGTGTGTGTGATACTGTCATGTGTGAGTACACGTGTGTGTGTGTTACTGTCATGTGTGAGTACACGTGTGTGTGTGTGTGTGTTACTGTGGTGTGTGAGTACACGTGTGTGTGTGTGCTGTCATGTGTGAGTACACGTGTGTGTGTGTTACTGTCATGTGTGAGTACACGTGTGTGTGTGTTACTGTCATGTGTGAGTACACGTGTGTGTGTTACTGTCATGTGTGAGTACACGTGTGTGTGTTACTGTCATGTGTGAGTACACGTGTGTGTGTTACTGTCATGTGTGAGTACACGTGTGTGTGTTACTGTCATGTGTGAGTATACGTGTGTGTGTGTGTTACTGGCATGTGTGAGTACACGTGTGTGTGTGTGTTACTGTCATGTGTGAGTACACGTGTGTGTGTGTTACTGTCATGTGTGAGTACACGTGTGTGTGTTACTGTCATGTGTGAGTACACGTGTGTGTTACTGTCATGTGTGAGTACACGTATGTGTGCTACTGTCATGTGTGAGTACACGTGTGTGTGTGTGTTACTGTCATGTTTGAGTACGCGTGTGTGTGTTACTGTCATGCGTGAGTACACGTGTGTGTGTTACTGTCATGTGTGAATACACGTGTGTGTGTAATACTGTCATGTGTGAGTACACGTGTGTGTGTGATACTGTCATGTGTGAGTACACGTGTGTGTGTTACTGTCATGTGTGAGTACACGTGTGTGTGTGTTACTGTTGTGTGTGAGTACACGTGTGTGTGTGCTGTCATGTGTGAGTACACGTGTGTGTGTGTTACTGTCATGTGTGAGTACACGTGTGTGTGTGTGTGTGTTACTGTCATGTGTGAGTACACGTGTGTGTTACTGTCATGTGTGAGTACACGTGTGTGTGTTACTGTCATGTGTGAGTACACGTGTGTGTGTTACTGTCATGTGTGAGTACACGTGTGTGTGTGTGTTACTGTCATGTGTGAGTACGCGTGTGTGTGTGTGTTACTGTCATGTGTGAGTACACGTGTGTGTGTGTTACTGTCATGTGTGAGTACACGTGTGTGTGTGTTACTGTCATGTGTGAGTACACGTGTGTGTGTTACTGTCATGTGTGAGTACACGTGTGTGTGTGTTACTGTCATGTGTGAGTACACGTGTGTGTGTTACTGTCATGTGTGAGTACACGTGTGTATGTGTGAGTACACGTGTGTGTGTTACTGTCATGTGTGAGTACACGTGTGTGTGTGAGTACACGTGTGTGTGTGTTACTGTCATGTTTGAGTACACGTGTGTGTGTGTTACTGTCATGTGTGAGTACACGTGTGTGTGTGTTACTGTTGTGTGTGAGTACACGTGTGTGTGTGTGCTGTCATGTGTGAGTACACGTGTGTGTGTGTGTTACTGTCATGTGTGAGTACACGTGTGTGTGTGTGTTACTGTCATGTGTGAGTACACGTGTGTGTTACTGTCATGTGTGAGTACACGTGTGTGTGTTACTGTCATGTGTGAGTACACGTGTGTGTGTTACTGTCATGTGTGAGTACACGTGTGTGTGTGTGTTACTGTCATGTGTGAGTACACGTGTGTGTGTGTGTTACTGTCATGTGTGAGTACACGTGTGTGTGTTACTGTCATGTGTGAGTACACGTGTGTGTGTGTTACTGTCATGTGTGAGTACACGTCTGTGTGTGTTACTGTCATGTGTGAGTACACGTGTGTGTGTTACTGTCATGTGTGAGTACACGTGTGTGTGTTACTGTCATGTGTGAGTACACGTCTGTGTGTGTTACTCTCATGTGTGAGTACACGTGTGTGTGTTACTGTCATGTGTGAGTACACGTGTGTATGTGTGAGTACACGTGTGTGTGTGTGTTACTGTCATGTGTGAGTACACGTGTGTGTGTGTGTGTGAGTACACGTGTGTGTGTGTTACTGTCATGTTTGAGTACACGTGTGTGTGTGTCACTGTCATGTGTGAGTACACGTGTGTGTGTTACTGTCATGTGTGAGTACACGTGTGTGTGTGTGTTACTGTCATGTGTGAGTACACGTGTGTGTGTGTTACTGTCATGTGTGAGTACACGTGTGTGTGTTACTGTCATGTGTGAGTACACGTGTGTGTGTTACTGTCATGTGTGAGTACACGTGTGTGTGTGTGTTACTGTCATGTGTGAGTACACGTGTGTGTGTGTTACTGTCATGTGTGAGTACACGTGTGTGTGTGTTACTGTCATGTGTGAGTACACGTGTGTGTGTTACTGTCATGTGTGAGTACACGTGTGTGTGTTACTGTCATGTGTGAGTACACGTGTGTGTGTGTGTTACTGTCATGTGTGAGTACACGTATGTGTGTTACTGTCATGTGTGAGTACACGTGTGTGTGTTACTGTCATGTGTGAGTACACGTGTGTGTGTTACTGTCATGTGTGAGTACACGTGTGTGTGTTACTGTCATATGTGAGTACACGTGTGTGTGTGTGTGTGTTACTGTCATGTGTGAGTACACGTGTGTGTGTTACTGTCATGTGTGAGTACACGTGTGTGTGTTACTGTCATGTGTGAGTACACGTGTGTGTGTGTTACTGCCATGTGTGAGTACACGTGTGTGTGTGTTACTGTCATGTGTAAGTACACTTGCGTGTGTGTTACTGTCATGTGTGAGTACACGTGTGTGTGTGATACTGTCATGTGTGAGTACACGTGTGTGTGTGTTACTGTCATGTGTGAGCACACGTGTGTGTGTGATACTGTCATGTGTGAGTACACGTGTGTGTGATACTGTCATGTGTGAGTACACGTGTGTGTGTGTTACTGTCATGTGTGAGTACACGTGTGTGTGTGTGTTACTGTCATGTGTGAGTACACGTGTGTGTGTTACTGTCGTGTGTGAGTACACGTGTGTGTGTGCTACTGTCATGTGTGAGTACACGTGTGTGTGTTACTGTCATGTATAAGTACACGTGTGTGTGTGTGTTACAGTCATGTGTGAGTACACGTGTGTGTGTGTGTTACTGTCATGTGTGAGTACACGTGTGTGTGTGTTACTGTCATGTGTAAGTACACGTGTGTGTGTGTTACTGTCATGTGTGAGTACACGTGTGTGTGTGTGTGTTACTGTAATGTGTGAGTACACGTGTATGTGTGTGTTACTGTCATGTGTAAGTACACGTGTGTGTGTTACTGTCATGTGTGAGTACACGTGTGTGTGTGTGTTACTGTCATGTGTGAGTACACGTGTGTGTGTGTTACTGTCATGTGTGAGTACACGTGTGTGTGTGTTACTGTCATGTGTGAGTACACGTGTGTGTGTGTTACTGCCATGTGTGAGTACACGTGTGTGTGTGTTACTGTCATGTGTAAGTACACTTGTGTGTGTTTGTTACTGTCATGTGTGAGCACACGTGTGTGTGTGTGATACTGTCATGTGTGAGTACACGTGTGTGTGTTACTGTCATGTGTGAGTACACGTGTGTGTGTGTTACTGTCATGTGTAAGTACACGTGTGTGTATGTGTTGCTGTCATGTGTGAGTACACGTGTGTGTGTGATACTGTCATGTGTGAGTACACGTGTGTGTGTTACTGTCATGTGTGAGTACACGTGTGTGTGTGTTACTGTCATGTGTGAGTACACGTGTGTGTGTGTTACTGTCGTGTGTGAGTACACGTGTATGTGTGTATTACTGTCATGTGTAAGTACACGTGTGTGTGTGTTACTGTCATGTGTGAGTACACGTGTGTGTTACTGTCATGTGTAAGTACACGTGTGTGTGTTACTGTCGTGTGTGAGTACACGTGTGTGTGTGTTACTGTCATGTGTAAGTACACGTGTGTGTGTGTTACTGTCATGTGTAAGTACACGTGTGTGTGTGTTACTGTCATGTGTGAGTACACGTGTGTGTGTGTTACTGTCATGTGTGAGTACACGTGTGTGTGTGTTACTGTCATGTGTGAGTACACGTGTGTGTGTTACTGTCATGTGTGAGTACACGTGTGTGTGTTACTGTCATGTGTGAGTACACGTGTGTGTGTTACTGTCATGTGTGAGTACACGTGTGTGTGTGTTACTGTCATGTGTAAGTACACGTGTGTGTGTGTTACTGTCATGTGTGAGTACACGTGTGTGTGTGTGTTACTGTCATGTGTGAGTACACGTGTGTGTGTTACTGTCATGTGTAAGTACACGTGTGTGTGTTACTGTCATGTGTGAGTACACGTGTGTGTGTGTTACTGTCATGTGTAAGTACACGTGTGTGTGTGTTACTGTCATGTGTGAGTACACGTGTGTGTGTGTTACTGTCATGTGTGAGTACACGTGTGTGTGTGTGTTACTGTCATGTGTAAGTACACGTGTGTGTGTGTTACTGTCATGTGTGAGTACACGTGTGTGTGTTACTGTCATGTGTAAGTACACGTGTGTGTGTGTTACTGTCATGTGTGAGTACACGTGTGTGTGTGTTACTGTCATGAGTGAGTACACGTGTGTGTGTGTTACTGTCATGTGTAAGTGCACGTGTGTGTGTTACTGTCATGTGTGAGTACACGTGTGTGTGTGTTACTGTCATGTGTAAGTACACGTGTGTGTGTGTTACTGTCATGAGTGAGTACACGTGTGTGTGTTATTACTGTCATGTGTGAGTACACGTGTGTGTGTGTTACTGTCATGTGTGAGTACACGTGTGTGTGTTACTGTCATGTGTAAGTACACGTGTGTGTGTGTTACTGTCATGTGTGAGTACACGTGTGTGTGTTACTGTCATGTGTGAGTACACGTGTGTGTGTGTTACTGTCATGTGTAAGTACACGTGTGTGTGTGTTACTGTCATGTGTAAGTACACGTGTGTGTGTGTTACTGTCATGTGTGAGTACACGTGTGTGTGTGTTACTGTCATGTGTGAGTACACGTGTGTGTGTGTTACTGTCATGTGTAAGTACACGTGTGTGTGTTACTGTCATGTGTAAGTACACGTGTGTGTGTGTTACTGTCATGTGTGAGTACACGTGTGTGTGTGTTACTGTCATGTGTAAGTACACGTGTGTGTGTGTTACTGTCATGTGTAAGTACACGTGTGTGTGTGTTACTGTCATGTGTGAGTACACGTGTGTGTGTGTTACTGTCATGTGTGAGTACACGTGTGTGTGTTACTGTCATGTGTAAGTACACGTGTGTGTGTGTTACTGTCATGTGTGAGTACACGTGTGTGTGTTACTGTCATGTGTGAGTACACGTGTGTGTGTGTTACTGTCATGTGTAAGTACACGTGTGTGTGTGTTACTGTCATGTGTAAGTACACGTGTGTGTGTGTTACTGTCATGTGTGAGTACACGTGTGTGTGTGTTACTGTCATGTGTGAGTACACGTGTGTGTGTGTTACTGTCATGTGTAAGTACACGTGTGTGTGTTACTGTCATGTGTAAGTACACGTGTGTGTGTGTTACTGTCATGTGTGAGTACACGTGTGTGTGTGTTACTGTCATGTGTGAGTACACGTGTGTGTGTGTTACTGTCATGTGTAAGTACACGTGTGTGTGTTACTGTCATGTGTAAGTACACGTGTGTGTGTGTTACTGTCATGTGTGAGTACACGTGTGTGTGTGTTACTGTCATGTGTGAGTACACGTGTGTGTGTGTGTTACTGTCATGTGTGAGTACACGTGTGTGTGTTACTGTCATGTGTAAGTACACGTGTGTGTGTTACTGTCATGTGTAAGTACACGTGTGTGTGTGTTACTGTCATGTGTGAGTACACGTGTGTGTGTGTTACTGTCATGTGTGAGTACACGTGTGTGTGTGTTACTGTCATGTGTAAGTACACGTGTGTGTGTTACTGTCATGTGTAAGTACACGTGTGTGTGTGTTACTGTCATGTGTGAGTACACGTGTGTGTGTTACTGTCATGTGTGAGTACACGTGTGTGTGTGTGTGTTACTGTAATGTGTGAGTACACGTGTGTGTGTGTTACTGTCATGTGTGAGTACACGTGTGTGTGTGTTACTGTCATGTGTAAGTACACGTGTGTGTGTGTGTTACTGTCATGTGTAAGTACACGTGTGTGTGTTACTGTCATGTGTGAGTACACGTGTGTGTGTGTTACTGTCATGTGTAAGTACACGTGTGTGTGTGTGTTACTGTCATGTGTGAGTACACGTGTGTGTGTGTTACTGTCATGTGTGAGTACACGTATGTGTGTGTTACTGTCATGTGTAAGTACACGTGTGTGTGTTACTGTCATGTGTGAGTACACGTGTGTGTGTGTTACTGTCATGTGTGAGTACACGTGTGTGTGTGTTACTGCCATGTGTAAGTACACGTGTGTGTGTGTTACTGTCATGTGTGAGTACACGTGTACGTGTGTTACTGTCGTGTGTGAGTACACGTGTGTGTGTGTTACTGTCATGTGTGAGTACACGTGTACGTGTGTGTTACTGTCATGTGTGAGTACACGTGTGTGTGTTACTGTCATGTGTGAGTACACGTGTGTGTGTGTTACTGTCATGTGTAAGTACACGTGTGTGTGTGTTACTGTCATGTGTGAGTACACGTGTGTGTGTTACTGTCATGTGTGAGTACACGTGTGTGTGTTACTGTCATGTGTAAGTACACGTGTGTGTGTTACTGTCATGTGTGAGTACACGTGTGTGTGTGTTACTGTCATGTGTGAGTACACGTGTGTGTGTGTTACTGTCATGTGTGAGTACACGTGTGTGTGTTACTGTCATGTGTGAGTACACGTGTGTGTGTTACTGTCGTGTGTGAGTACACGTGTGTGTGTGTTACTGTCATGTGTAAGTACACGTGTGTGTGTGTTACTGTCATGTGTGAGTACACGTGTGTGTTACTGTCATGTGTAAGTACACGTGTGTGTGTGTTACTGTCATGTGTGAGTACACGTGTGTGTGTTACTGTCATGTGTAAGTACACGTGTGTGTGTGTTACTGTCATGTGTGAGTACACGTGTGTGTGTGTTACTGTCATGTGTGAGTACACGTGTGTGTGTTACTGTCATGTGTGAGTACACGTGTGTGTGTGTTACTGTCATGTGTGAGTACACGTGTGTGTGTGTTACTGTCATGTGTAAGTACACGTGTGTGTGTTACTGTCATGTGTAAGTACACGTGTGTGTGTGTGTTACTGTCATGTGTGAGTACACGTGTGTGTGTTACTGTCATGTGTAAGTACACGTGTGTGTGTGTTACTGTCATGTGTGAGTACACGTGTGTGTGTGTTACTGTCATGTGTGAGTACACGTGTGTGTGTGTTACTGTCATGTGTGAGTACACGTGTGTGTGTTACTGTCATGTGTGAGTACACTTGTGTGTGTGTGTTACTGTCATGTGTAAGTACACGTGTGTGTGTTACTGTCATGTGTGAGTACACTTGTGTGTGTGTGTTACTGTCATGTGTGAGTACACGTGTGTGTGTGTTACTGTCATGTGTGAGTACACGTGTGTGTGTGTTACTGTCATGTGTGAGTACACGTGTGTGTGTGTGTGTTACTGTCGGTGCCGACCACGCAGCTCCACGATGTTTAGTCGTCGTCCGCGTCAGAGATGAAATGTGCTGTTTATTTTGGATTCTGATGTTCTGACTTCAAATATGACATTAAAACAACTGATTGGCTACTCTTCCCAAGATATTTAAGCTGTTACATTTTACGTCTGTGAATATTGTGTAGATAGTAGAGTTTTACTCATAAATTGTAAACCTAGGTATTTTCATGTGTTTATGGTTGCTTTACATGGTACATGTCACCTATCCTGTTCATGTACAACTTTAAAAATAAGCAAAAGGGTTTTATAAATATATTTTTTTATAATGAAACAAAAGGCAAAACACTATTATGCATGTATGAGTACGTAGTTTAGTGCTTATTCAGTGTCTACTGGGCGCTTCTTGGCTTGTCTCTTCTATTCATTAAATGAAGCGTCTCGTGTCGCTGTCCAGCCACAAGTCTGCAAGCATCGCAGGGCTCCGTTTGCCCCGAGAGCGCCTCTTCATTGTCCTGGTGAAGTCGCTCGCCACGACCGCCTCCCCCTAGGTCGACTCGGCCTCAATTGAGTACCTGGTGCGGTGTGGTGTAAACATTGCCACTGGGGAGACAAAGGCGGCCGGGTGTGGTTGCTGACCACCCAGCCCCCTCGTCAACAGCACTTGCCCCTGCAGCAGCAGCACTGCCATAGGCTACAGAAGAGTTGAGCGGCGTGCGAGCGGTGGTCTTGGTGGTTGTCTGCCTGCTGCCACGGTTTAGACAACAGGAGCAGCAGCAGGAAGGTTCACGCGGCTGCAGCAGAGTCTCGAACTCGCGAGGCCAACTCGGCTGGGCTGGCCAGGCCTCGCCTCAACTCGTTGCTGTCAGATTGCGCAAGAGTCGCATGTTTGAGTTGCCCGTTCGGTTAATGATCGTCTTGTAGCGTGTTCTTTATTGCTGGGCACTCGAGTCACGGGACTGTGAGCGCGCGGTGTCCAACATCCTGCAGCGTTTGACCCCACGCGGTGCCTCACCCCCAACGTACCACACACAGCACAACGAACAACCCCAACGTACCACACACAGCACAACGAACAACCCCAACGTACCACACACAGCACAACGAACAACCCCAACGTACCACACACAGCACAACGAACAACCCCAACGTACCACACACAGCACAACGAACAACCCCAACGTACCACACACAGCACAACGAACAATGCCTGTGACACCTGCTGCGTTGCTGGGCGCTTGCATCTGTTCACTCGTTATCCAAACACTTAACCAGGCCGAACCCGGCTTAGCTTCTCAAGTCAGAGACGAGAGTCCAGCCGGTGCTTTGTTCATATCGACTTTATACCGCATGCGGTGATGCAGCATTACTGCAGGATGATGATGAGCACTGCATTAGGCGGTGGTGCATCGCCACTGTGGTGCATCAGAGTGGTGACTGCACGCTCGTCCACTGATGATGCTTCAAGTGAACCTGCCGCGCGCTCAGAGCGAACTCTCCTCCCATTTCCCGCGCGGTCGTGCGGGTGGCGGTCGCAGCGAGAGTCGGAGAGGGAACAGCGCCCACGGGGGACATCGGCGGGCAACCACGACCCGTACAGCCGCCTGGCCCCCGTGGTGCCGCGCCTGCCAAGTGGACTTTAAAGGCCCCGGCTCCTAGGGCGTCGGCAACCTGCGGCTCCGGAACTGCTTCGTGACGTTACTTATGAAGGACCGCCGTCTCGTATTCACCACGCAGTGCATTGGGGCTCTTGAAAAAGAGGAGTTTTTCAGCGAATTCGAGAAAAAAACGTCTCTTGTTTGTTTTGGTTGGCAACCCGTGCTCTAGGGGGATCTCCATCGTTGTCTGCACTGCCATGGCTGCACAGGAGGAGGGATGGGTGCTCTACTACTGGCCCAAGCTGGCGGGCCGTGCCGAGTTCATTCGCCTTGTGCTGGAGGAGGCCGGTGAACCTTACACCGAGGTCAACGATGGCATTGAGGCCATGTTCTTTCAGGGCAAGCACCAAGAATACCCCGCGCTTGCGCCTCCGCTCATCCGCAAAGGTCCGGTGGCCATCAAACCCCCAGCGCTCACCTCCCCGACCCTTGGAGTGAACGCAGTACAGCGCTGTACGCACGGCGCATTGTCAACCCGCTGCTAGGTGAAGGCCTCCCCTTGCCGTGACGGCGATGGAGGTTGTTTGACCTACGGTACGGGTCAGTGCAGGTTGGTCAAGTTGTGGTGGGAACCAAGATCGGTTAAGATTTCAGTGCCACTGCCACGTTAGCTGTGGCCAAGAATTTAACTTGGGAAACTGGGTTTAGTTTAAATGGTTTATCCATAAGAGGTTTTTTTGGGTTAGATCGCGTAAATATATAAATTTGTCGTTAAACCCACCACCACCCGACACAGCCAACTAGTAAGGGTTGTCACGTCAACAGAACATGACAATTCGTCACTCGTACAGCACACCGGCGTGTTGGAGGGCAAAGCCACAACATTTACAATCTGAGTACGACGTTTCGCCAGTAATTAAAACTAGCTTCATCAGGTGATAGCCAGATTTGTGACTAAATCCTCCTATTTCATTCCTTAAATAGAGGGATAGGTGTGATGACATCACTTGTGAGCCCTTCTTACGCGATATAACGTAGATCTGAACGCAGTACTGTATCTTGTCAATAGATGCCCTCGCACCTGCTGTCCCACAGGATCGTTCACGCTGTCGCAGACGCCCGTTATCTGCCGCTACCTGGGCCGACGCCTGGGCCTGTGGCCGCAGAGCGAGGACGACGAGTGGCACGCGGATCAGGTCAACGCCACGATCCACGACTTCATCTGCGAGGGTGCGTCCTCCCGCACCACCAACCCTGGTCCCGGCACCACCGCCGGCGGCGGCGGCGTCGCCACGGCCGTCTCTGTCTTCACGAGAACCGTGCCTTGGTGGGGCTGTGGGGATCATGTGACGATGTGACAAGAGTTACACTTAGCGTGGAGGTTCACGGCCAATATTATTTGTTAAAGATTTCTTGGGGTGAGTCCACGTAATGATCTCGCGAAATGTGTGCCGTGCGACCCTGCATCGTCGGACGGAGCCACGGTCGTTTCAGCTCCTAACCGGAAATTTGAAGAATAATTCTCACGACCAAATTTAGCAATTGTCTTCAACTTATGGCATGTTAATGGCTTTTACTCGTGACATTGTAAGTTGTTTGGCAAAGTCGATTATGAATCGGAATAGTTGCAGATTGGATATTTAATTTTAAGTAAAAAACCAGCGCTGGTGAGTGCAAACAACCAGAAGCAGCCTTCTCAGACAGCGTGTGTAACCTCCCTGTCTCAGACATTTAGCCTGAAGTGTAGAATATAAAGGATTTTAGATGAACATCCGATTAAGCAATCAACATTCAACAATCACAGTGTTTGCCATCAATAAATAATTAATATTGTGCAGTCATTTGTTTAATGATGACAGCAGATTACCTTACATTACATCCTACATTTATTAAACATATATAGTGCAAGTTTATTGTATGCACTCCTGATATAAGCACAGTTCAGTTGTAAGCAACACATTGTTAGATTTCCCTTTTGGGAGGAAGGCAAAGGTTAACTTCTGATACAGGCACACTTCTTCAGATGTGCGTGCACATGGCCATACACCCAAGTGGGTGTGCTTGTATCCAGCTTCTACTGTGCTTCTAAAGCCCAACTTACACACTGTTCATACTTTTTAACATGCGATATAATTGTGACATTTTTCCAATGATTGTCCGTAAAAATTGGACGATAGAAAACCGATGCAGTTTTGTGATTGCAAAAAAAAAAAACCCAACTGATGCGCAAGCAAGAGAAACTGCACGGCTTGGTGGAATTAAATAGCCAGAAGGTAACCGATTAATTACTGTATAGAGCGTGCCCCACTCATTACGTCAGGTTACAATGTATCGAAACATGCACACTATGCAAGTATTTTTTAAGGTTAACCCATAATTTTGCAGGTGTCATTTGAAGGTTTTTTTTTTCTCGTTTTTGTTTTACCCCTCCGTGTCTCACACAGGGCGTCTGGCTTTCCACGGGAAGGACTTCCATGCTTCGTACTTCACGCAGCAGGAGGAGACCAAGCCGTACATCGAGAAATTCGTGAAGGAACGGCTGCTCCGCTTTCTCGGACACTTTGAGGCCACCCTCAAGGCCAACGATGGAGGCCAAGGGTGTGTATTTGACTCTTCGCTGTCAACGGGTGCGTGCCGGAGGAGGGCCCCTCCCCACGCCCGGCAAGCCGTGGCGGGTATTTGACCATACTTCACCACGCTGGTTCGCGCAGGTTAGCGAAGCGTGGATAAGGGCAGAAGAACTGATTTTACGGCACTGCCCACTGCATACTGCACTGTCTTTTGTGCATGGTGGTCACCCATCCCAGCACTGTCCAAGTTGAAATCTGCTCAACTTCTGAGATTTGGTGAGATTGGTCACATTCCTGGTCATATGTGTACACAGAGACAACCCGTTCTGTGCTACAGACTGCCGATGCAAGCGCTGTTCGTGACCATTTATTAAGTACGTCCCGAGGAACAGGATGGGATGGCAAGGGTAGAATTATGCTCGACCTGGTCACCTTTTGTCTTCCCACCGCTGATGACACTCGAGAGTACTCGTTGACAATCTGCGACAATAATAGGGGCGTGTAATTTAGCCGTTAGGTATGTCACGATATATTGCTGCATTGATTGAAATTGAGTCTTCTGCTCGATGTGCATTCATCAAGTGGTGTGAGAATTATTTTTTTGTGTTCACGTATGGTGAATGGCGGTGCAGTGATTAGCGCACTGCACTGTGAGTGCACCTCGTGAGGTGCGGGAAGCTAAGCAGGTTTAAACCTGGGCCACCACGGCCTAGACCGTGAGGTGTAGTATGGGTGGGGCGACGACTTGGCCGGGAGATGGCAGCGCTGATTGTCACCCTCTTCGTGTGCGAGCGTTTTCTCCGGGTACTTTGGTTTCCTGCCATTAGTGGAACTGGTCAAGCATCCCAATGCAGGCCCCTCATAAGAACGAATCTTGAGACTCGGTAGCCGTATTGACGCTACCCGCTGGATTCCAGAATAGCCAAACCTGGTGGGTAAACCTGACTGACCTGTGCAGCACACAATGAAAGTGGCAGGCGTTCCACCGAGGCTGTGCACAGGTTGTACAAATGAGGCTGTGTGGCTGTTGGCATTTTTAAAAATAATTTGGAATGCTGCCATGGCTTAAGGTTAGCGCACTATACTTTCCATCAAGAGGTCGACACTTGAAACCGTGGTGCAAGTTTTTAAAAAATCTCCTCCACCTCTATCCACCTCGCAGTATAAATGGGTACACCCCAAGTGGGCACGTCTCGTGCCCGGGGGGGGGGGGGTCGGGGGTAAAGTGTGGGCTACTCCCACCTCGTCAAAGATGTCTAGCCAGCATGAAAGAGTAGGCCAAATACCCTCCACAGGGGCTCTTTGGCGCTCCCCCAAGTGGAGTTCCTTGCACCAGCAGCCGTGCGATCAAGTAACGGCAAGGCGACACCTTTACCTGTGATTGTCGTCGTCGTTGTTGCCGTTGCGCTGCAGGTTCCTGGTGGGCGACTCGCTGACGTACGTGGACTTGGCACTGCTGCACGCCCTGCGTGCCACCGAGGCGCAGTTCCCCGAGGAGTGGGCGGCAGCGGCGGAGGTCACGGCGCTGCTGCGCGCATTCCAGCAGCGCGTGGCGGCGCGACCTCGCCTCGCCGCCTACTTCCGCTCCGAGCGCTGCAAGCCCTTTGAGGGCAACAGCATGATGTAGGTGGGCCGGCGGGGCCCGCGCCTCCATTGTTCATGGGGCGTGTGGCCGGTTGGCATGCGCTCTGGCGCAGTGGCAATTCAGAGGGTGTCAATTTTTTCAGAAGGCCGTAAATTTCGGTGGTGGCGTATCAATTTTAAAATTTCTGAGAAGGCGATTTATAAATTTGGGAAGAAAAAATGATGGCGTACGCATTTTAAAAATTTGTAATAAAATGCATCTAAAATGAAATGCACGTGAAGAATTGTTAATTGTTTCTTTGCAATTTTCACATTTGTGAATTGTCTTTAAAATGGCCTATTGCATAACAACGGCCTTCTCAAAACGTATGGAGCAGACCAAAGTTTTCCCTCCTCTCCCCCGAGTGCACCTCTTGAGAACATAGGTAGGGGCTTGGGCAAGATGTGTAAAAGTGAGAAGCAATATAATGCGGTGAAGCGCAACAAACATGGGAAGATGTCATCACTTCCACGTCTCTTCCGCGTGTCCGTGTGATGGTTCGGATAATTAGGAATGTAATTTACGGATAATAGGAAGGTCTGTGGATTGCTTAGTGTGCACGACTAACAACGTGTTTGTAACATGAAGTACAGTTCATGATAGAGATGAGTTTCACAACAACATCAACCGCCGTTCACCACTAAGTGGCGGTGACGTCGCCGCTGGTGGGAAGTCGTGGTTTTTCTGACATTCAAGACAGATTATTCTCATCGTAGAGCATGATTGCGAGTTTAACTTCCATGTTGTTCCGCTGGCGACAGCCAGGCCGCAGCAGAGAGCTGTTGGTGGCCTTTAGTCTCAAGTCGCTTGATTTCGTTTGTGCAACAGATGAACAGACGCTGCCAATTGACGAGGAAAGCCAACTTCAGATTTGTACAAATAATTATAAACGATATTTTATTACTCAGTCGATTTTGCGGATAAACCAGTTAGGTATGTGAACACTAAGCTCCCTTGATAGTTTCACGGTGCAAATCGCAACACCTTTTGTAGTGAGATTTCAGAGGCGTTAATAGGGAGAATTCCACCATCTCCACAGTCGACATCTCTCTCATGCACTTGCCTTCTGTTGGCTTTCGAGTTAACGTCTCTACTGCTGGATGGCGTGCTGTGGATTTACAACTTGGAAGATGTGAACTCGATACATCCTCAAAGGTTAAGGCACAGTCCCTGCAATAGCTGGCTCACGCCACTGCTGGTGAAAGGGCCTCCACGGGAGGGAGCTCTGGAGAGCTCCTGTAAAAGGTGCACTGTACTGTTTTGGTCTACTATTCCACGCCGGTAAGACATCTTGTACCCCACCACACGCAATCTGCCCATCGGTGAGCACATCCCTTATATGTCACAAGGAACAAATCTCAAAAGACGACCACAAATTTTAGAACATCGTAGAATACAAATTGATGGAAATGTGCGAGAGAGGAGACGTGAACCCAAGAGATATTTTGCATTCACTTGCGAGGTGGGGATAATGGTGGTGGTGCGTTTGCTTGCGAGCTTCCTGTCTCTTTTTTTTATAATGAGCCACCGCAAATGCCTTTCCACCCACACCCTTTCTCAAGAGGCGATTAAATGGCAGTAATCAGGTCGGATAATGATTCTAATGAGCCGTGAGTGGACGGCCCACACTCCATCCCCCTCCATCCCACCATCCCACTCACGCTACCCACGCCACGCTTGCTGTACCACGCCCCTGGGATGTGAAGTCACTCTCTAGGTTCATGAAATGGACGTGACACGCATACTACATAGAGCACATACATCCATCTACAGGATCAGAATGTATTCATACTGGAGGGATCATTCATAATAAAGGTTTTTGGGTTAGATCGCGTTTATTTATAAATGTGTCGTAACCCTCCACCACCCGACACGGCCAATCAGCAAAAAAAGTGTCACGTTGACAAAAGACAAATAATTCACTACTTCAGCCCACCGGTGTGTTGAAGAGTTAATCCACATTTACAGTTTGAGTACGACGTTTCGCTGGTAAATACTTCCAGCATCATCGGGCAATTCGCCAGAATGGTAAAGCCCTCGCTTGCTCCCGGTTTTATATAGAGCAGCAGGGTGACGTCATCACTTAACTCATCAGGTGCAGTGATTAGAGGCGGAGGGGGGGGTAATGTAATTATATAATCGATTAGTAATCAGTCATTGGTTATGATTAGTAATGAGTTGTAGATTAGTAATTCTTTAAATCAAAATGTAATGTGTATTATTTAATAATACGCTTCCAGGCCGCACTAAGCCGGTAGCTGTCAGAGCGATTAAAGTTATTCTTGTTCCTCTCAATTTCAATGGATTCTCTAATTAGTCTTTGCCAGTAATAATTAGTTTTACACACCACTGCAACATTGTCAAAATCAATTGAGTGTCCTTGTTGACAAGCATGTTCTGCCACTGCCGACAGTTGTGTTTGAGATAATTTAATATTTCTCTGATGTTCTTTTAGTCTTACGCTGATGTTACGTCCCGTCTGCCCAATGTAGCAGCTGCCACATGAACAATTAATCCGATATACACCTTCTGTTGATAGTTTAGGTAATGCGTCTTTAGTGCAAGATACTAGTTTTTGAATTTTGTGTACTGTACCAAATCTTACTGTAATGTTTTGCTTTTGAAAAACGCGGGCTAATTTGTCAGTTACTCCTGAGATATATGGAATTTTTATTGTTTTAACAATCTGGTCGCTTTCAGTAGTATTGCTTTGCGATCGTGATTTGGCATTCAGTGCTCTGTTAATTTGAGCATTATTGTAGCCATTCTGTCGTAGTGCGTCTTTAACGTGTTTAATCTCTCTCACTAGACTCTCACCATCTGACACTGTTTTCGCCCGATGTACGAGCGTCTTGATAAGAGAGGATTTTTGAGCTGGATGATGATGCGATTCTGCATTCAGATAGGCATCAGTGTGCGTTTGCTTTCTGTAAACGCTGTGTGTTATTTTACCATTTAGGCCATGTCCAAGCAAAATATCTAGGAATGGGAGTGTGTTATTCACCTCCATTTCCATGGTGAACTGGATGGCCGGGTTTTGTGCATTGAGATGATTTAGAAAATCATTAAGTTTATCTTTACCATGTGGCCAGACAACCAAAGTGTCATCCACATACCTAAACCAAAAGGATGGTTTTAATGTGCTCGAGGCAAGTGCTCTTATTTCAAAGTTTTCCATGTACAAATTTGCTATAGCAGGGGATAAAGGAGAACCCATTGCTGCTCCTTCCTTTTGTTTAAAGAAATCCCCTCTCCATAAGAAGTAAGTGTTATTTAAACAATGGCCAGCAAGTTTCAGAATATATTTTTGTAAACCGGTATTCTTTACTAGTGTATCAAGTAATTTAAGCGATTCGTCCACTGGAACCTTAGTGAAAGGCCTTAACTTTGCCGTTACCCCACGCACAATTCCAGTGGATGAGATAATTGCTGAGGTAGAATCAGCAGTTAGACTCCTTCCACATAATGAGGCAGAGATGACTAGACATGAGGTTGCTAAAATAATTGAGAATAGCAAAGTTCCAAAAGTAAATATTAGCTCTAACGAGGCAAAAGCCTTAAGAGAGCTGCGTGTAAATAAGGATATCCAAATCCTAGCAGCTGATAAAGGCCGCACTACTGTAGTGATGTCACCAGCCGATTATGATAATAAAATTAGAAATTTACTAGAGGAAAGTACCTACATTAAAATTAAACGAGATCCAACTAATACTTTAGAACGTAAGACCACTGCAATAATTGCAAATTCATTAATCCCTAAAAATGAGCAATACCTAATTAAGCCAAGGGCCTCAAAACCACCTAGACTCTATGGGCTACCAAAGATTCATAAAATCGGCATCCCATTACGACCCATAGTCAGTACAATTGGCTCTGCCACATATCAATTAGCAAAATATATAACCAAACAAATACAGCCCTACATCGGTAAGACATCTTCATTCATAAAAAATTCAGAACATCTTGTGAATGTGATTAAAGATATTAAACTTACTCCTGATGATATTCTGGTAAGTTTTGATGTGATTTCTCTATTCACTAAGGTTCCAGTGGACGAATCGCTTAAATTACTTGATACACTAGTAAAGAATACCGGTTTACAAAAATATATTCCGAAACTTGCTGGCCATTGTTTAAATAACACTTACTTCTTATGGAGAGGGGATTTCTTTAAACAAAAGGAAGGAGCAGCAATGGGTTCTCCTTTATCCCCTGCTATAGCAAATTTGTACATGGAAAACTTTGAAATAAGAGCACTTGCCTCGAGCACATTAAAACCATCCTTTTGGTTTAGGTATGTGGATGACACTTTGGTTGTCTGGCCACATGGTAAAGATACACTTAATGATTTTCTAAATCATCTCAATGCACAAAACCCGGCCATCCAGTTCACCATGGAAATGGAGGTGAATAACACACTCCCATTCCTAGATATTTTGCTTGGACATGGCCTAAACGGTAAAATAACACACAGCGTTTACAGAAAGCAAACGCACACTGATGCCTATCTAAATGCAGAATCGCATCATCATCCAGCTCAAAAATCCTCTCTTATCAAGACGCTCGTACATCGGGCGAAAACAGTGTCAGATGGTGAGAGTCTAGTGAGAGAGATTAAACACGTTAAAGACGCACTACGACAGAATGGCTACAATAATGCTCAAATTAACAGAGCACTGAATGCCAAATCACGATCGCAAAGCAATACTACTGAAAGCGACCAGATTGTTAAAACAATAAAAATTCCATATATCTCAGGAGTAACTGACAAATTAGCCCGCGTTTTGCAAAAGCAAAACATTACAGTAAGATTTGGTACAGTACACAAAATTCAAAAACTAGTATCTTGCACTAAAGACGCATTACCTAAACTATCAACAGAAGGTGTATATCGGATTAATTGTTCATGTGGCAGCTGCTACATTGGGCAGACGGGACGTAACATCAGCGTAAGACTAAAAGAACATCAGAGAAATATTAAATTATCTCAAACACAACTGTCGGCAGTGGCAGAACATGCTTGTCAACAAGGACACTCAATTGATTTTGACAATGTTGCAGTGGTGTGTAAAACTAATTATTACTGGCAAAGACTAATTAGAGAATCCATTGAAATTGAGAGGAACAAGAATAACTTTAATCGCTCTGACAGCTACCGGCTTAGTGCGGCCTGGAAGCGTATTATTAAATAATACACATTACATTTTGATTTAAAGAATTACTAATCTACA